TCTGTCTGTCTGTCTGTCTGTCTGTCTGTCTGTCTGTCTGTCTGTCTGTCTGTCTGTCCGTGTGTCTGTCTGTCTATCTATCTATCTATCTATCTATCTCTCTCTCTCTATGTCTCTATCGATCTATCGATCTATCGATCTATCTATCTGCACCGGCAAGCCGGAAAAACGTTCGGTGCGTGTGGACGCCGCCAACCTTGCAGGCATCCCCACCGAAACTCAATCCAAATTCATGGACTTGAACTCATGTCACTTTCGGTTCTCTATGGACTTCGCGACGGGTTGTCCTGGGAACTCGTATCCTGCGGTCTGCTCTGTACGTGGGCCCGCCTGTCTCCACTCGACTGCTCAATGCCCATTGTCCAAATAGCCTCCAAAGCCCTTCATGATGCTAATGATGCACTACTTGGCGTCCATTGCATCACTCGCATCACCAGACCCAATTTGCACTGCTTTTCTGACCCTCGCTTTGGAGCGCTCTCCCTCTCAAAAGGTCCCTCTCAACGACGGTACACGGCTCATTTTGGAACCTAGAAACGGCTCATTTTGGAACCTGGCTCATTTTGGAACCCAGACGAAAAGAAAACTCACCGGGACTGCAGCGTGAGACCAATTTCGCGGCTCATTTTGGAACCTGCATCATTCGGTAGTGCTTCGAAGGTAGTATTTGCTAGTGAAAATGAGTGTTTCGTACGAGACTTCCTCCAAAAGTGAGCCGCGGAAGTCTCCAGAACGAGCGTTTTGTACGAGACTTCCTTAAAAAGTGAGCCGCGGAAGTCTCCAGAACGAGCGCTTTGTACGAGACTTCCTTAAAAAGTGAGCCGCGGAAGTCTCCAGAACGAGCGTCTTGTGCGAGACTTCCTTAAAAAGTGAGCCACGGAAGTCTCCAGAACGAGCGTTTTGTACGAGACTTCCTTCAAAAGTGAGCAGCGGAAGTCTCCAGAACGAGCGTTTTGTACGAGACTTCCTTAAAAAGCGAGCGTTTTGCACGAGACTTCCTTAAAAAGTGAGCCGCGGAAGTCTCCAGAACGAGCGTTTTGTACGAGACTTCCTTAAAAAGTGAACCACGGAAGTCTCCAGAACGAGCGTTTTGTACGAGACTTCCTTCAAAAGTGAGCCGCGGAAGTCTCCAGAACGAGCGTTTTGTACGAGACTTCCTTCAAAAGTGAGCCGCGCAAGTCTAGAGAGAGAGAGACAGAGAGAGAGAGAGAGAGAGAAAACGGGCTTCGGCTTCTTTGGGGTCTCTTTTGGTTTTGCTTCGGGCTTCGGCTTTACGTTTTCTTTAGTCTTAGCTTCGGGCTTCACTTCTTCAGGATGTCTTTGGGTTTGACTCAGGGCTTCACTTCTCGAGGATCTGTTTTTGTTTTGCTTAGGGTTTCGCTCCTTTAGGTTTTCTTTTGCTTCTTTAGGATGTTTTTGTGCTGGAATTAGGCCTTCACGTGAGGGCTCCTTTAGGATGTCTTGGGTTTCACTTAGGGATTCACTTCTTTAGGGTCTCTGGTTGGTTGGGCTTAGGGCTTTGCTGCTTTAGGATGTCTTTCGTTTTCACTTAGGGCTTCACTTCTTTAGGATGTCTTTGGGTTTGACTCAGGGATTCACTTCTTTAGGGCCTGGTTTGGTTTTGCTTAGGGCTTCCCTCCATTAGGATGTCTTGGGTTTCAAATAGGGCTTCGCTTCTTTAGGGTTGCTGGCTGGTTTGCCATAGGACTTTGCTGTTTTAGGATGTCTTTGGTTGTGACTTAGAGCTTTACTTCTTGAGGGTCTCTTTTGGCCTGCCTTATCGCTTCACTTCTTTAGGATGTCTTTGCCCCAAATTCAACAGCATCTCTTGCTCAACATTTTGTGTTTTGTGCACATGGTCGTGATAATGATGTGCTTTGGCGAAGCTGGGTTTGGTTTTGCTCAGGGCTTTGCTCTTTTAGGGTTTCGTTTGGTTTGCCTTAGGGGCTTGCTTCTTTAAGATGTTTTTGGGGTGGCATTAGGGCTTCAGTGGAGAGGGGCTTAGGGCTTCACTTCTTTAGTCTTTTGTCTTTTGCTTCAGGCTTCACTCCTTTAGGGTTTCATGTGGTTGGGCTTCCGGCTTTGCGTCTCTAGGATGTCTTTGGGTCGAATGAGCCTTTACTTCTTTGGGGTCTCTTTTGGTTTTGCTTCGGGCCTCGCTCCTTTAGGGTTTCTTTGGTCTTAGCTTAGGGCTTCACTTCTTGAGGATGTCTTTGGATTTGACTCAGGGCTTCACTTCTTGAGGATCTGTTTTTTTGCTTAGGGTTTCGATCCTTTAGGTTTTCTTTTGCTTCTTTAGGATGTCTTTGGTTTGGGTTTAGGCCTTCACGTGAGGGCTCCTTTGGGATGTCTTGGGTTTCACTTAGGGCTTCACTTCTTCAGGGGGGTTGGTTTGCCTTAGGGCTTTGCTCTTTAGGATGTCTTTCGTTTTCACTTAGGGCTTCACTTCTTTAGGATGTCTGTGGGTTTGAATCAAGGCTTCACTTCTTTAGGGTTTGGTTTGGTTTTGCTTAGGGTTTCGCTCCTGCAGGGCCACTGTTTCTTTTGGCCTGGCGTAGGGCCTTGCCTCTTTAGGATGTCTGTGGGTTAGACTTCGGCCTTCACCACCACCCCCTCAAAACAAGAACGCTTCTCAGAAACCAGTCCCCAGAAACCACTTCCCAGAAACCACGTCCCACAAATCACTTCTCAAAAACCACTGCCCAGAAACCACTTCCCAGAAACCACTTCCCAGAAACCACACCACTTCCCAGCAAAAACTTCCCAGAAACCACCCCCCGAAACCACTCCCCAGAAACCACTTCCCAGAAGCCACTTCCCGGAAACCACTTCCCGGAAACCACTTCCCGGAAACCACT